GAGAAAGAGTCAATACTTGCAAGACACATTATAGACAAATATCATGCACATTATCATAGGTATGTTTGAATATTTAAGTTGCATGTGGTGCTAAAGGATAATATCCAAATGGACAATTGGGCTTCGGGATAGTCTGTGTTGAGCTTGCACAGATTTGTTCCAGAGCACCACAGTTAAATGCTACAGTCAGTTGCAAAGCGTGGTAATAAATGATTAAAACCTTCACTTGAGTGTCTTGTCTAAAATGGACTTTAACCTTCGAAGTGCATAAAATCATTTTTGGCCATGAAGGGGCAGAAAAACATCAAAAAATGCAAACTGTACTGATGCAGATGTTTGAACTCAAGAGCAATTCTCACGAAAAAGGCAGATAAAAATCAAAAGCTCTTCATTTACAGTACGTCAGGCAGGGTTAGTGACAGGCAAACAGTCAGAGAAGGTGCGCAAACCAGACAAGGAGGAGGTAGGCACAAAACAAATCGAGTTAGGCACAAAACAAATCGAGTTAGGCACAAAACAAATCTAGGTACAGGCAAAGGTGAGGATCAGCTGGGACTGGAATGCACTGCCTACATCAGTATAAAGACAGTCTGGCAGACTACAGGACCAGGGGCCGGTACAGTATGAGAGAATAACAACAGCTGGGCAAGGAGGTCAAGTGATGTAGGTGGTGGGAACAAAGAGGTGCCAACAGGGCAAGTGGATGGAAATGGGTGGTTGTGGCTTAGGAGGTACTGTTCACCTTTTGAAATAAATATGTTGTAAATTCACACATTCAGAAAGAGGCAAAATCAGGACAAATGTGGCTCAAACACTTCTTCAAGCACAGTGAATGACTTCCTGTTTTTCCCTCAAGAAACTGAGCTTAGAATGAAAAAAGACAACACAGTCTAGTCTGCTGGAATCAAAACAGGCCTTTAAAACCTCGTTCTTGTCTGCTGCACTAATCTCTGAACTGGTCAGGGAAAAGTGCACACAGAATCAGGATTTAAAGCACAGTCACTTTCACTGTGGAGGGTTCCTCCATGTTTCCTGTGTCCTTCCACCTTTATTTTGTTTCTCCATCTTTACCTGCCCCAATTACACACAGCTATTTCTCATCAGCATAACCGACCAGCTATCTCTCAATCTGTGTCTTTGTTAAACTTTGCTTGTTTTGCCAGTGCCTTGTCCCTGTTTCTTTGGACTCCTAGCTTGTTTAGTTATCTGCTGGAGTTTTGGTTTGGACATTCTTTTATTTAGACATATGTTTTGCCCCATATCTGGTCAGTCGTCTGTAGTCTCTTTCTTGTTAAACACTCATTCAATTCTTCCAGTTTTGGCCTCTCCCTGTCTGCCTCGTCTTTATTGTTTGTGTCTCTGCTTTAACCTCAGTTGGCTTTGTTACTATTGTCATATTTTTCTCTTCAGGTCAGCTTTGTTTTATCTGCATTGCACGTATTGTATGTATGCAGCAAGGTTTAACCCTTGTGTTGTTGTGAAATGATAGCCAGCTACCTTTTGTGGTAGTATTGTGCCTTCCTGACAAAAGGGTTATGCAATCTGCCCATAGGGAGTAAAATATACCAAGAATGCATATTGAAAATAAGACTTTTTTTGGGTGTGCCACAGTATTGT